AGCCTGAGCCAAGCTGGGCTCTCACCTGGTGAAAGTGACACAGAGACTGAAGTGTTGTGAACTTCAGCAAAATTAATATTCTAAAAATCTACTGCAATTATATTCAGGTTTTGATCAAAACAGATACTGAACAACTGCATCCACTTGATTAATAGAAACACTTACTACAGAAACAGACACTAACAATCTACCATTTTACTGTGGCAAATGCACATAATTATTCATCATTGATACTATTTATATACCCACGTACTGCTAAGTGAAAGAATGCTTTCATCCTGGTTTTATCATTTCTAGATTAAATCACAGTTTTTCTATTTCCTTCAGACAGCAGCTCAGCCCCACAATTTTCTCTCCAAATGACAGGCAATTCTTTTAAGCACATTGAATTATTTTTTCCAGGTGGTGGTTCAGTTGAAATTAAATGTTACTCTTTCAACATTGCTCTGCAGTACAGCTGTAGCACACAAAGAAAGATGACAACTTTAATATTCCAGCTAACTTGAAAGTCAGGATTTAAACAGAGGACTTTAAATTCAGAGCATTACTTATTTGAAGTGTGCTGTCAACTGGCACCTCTTTTTCCCTCACACAGGGGTGGAGGGAGCAGAGGGAGGAAGGAGAGGCTGCCATGGGTCAGACTGTGCCACGAGCACCAGCAGACGGTGGCTGCACTGCGGGGTGACAGTGTTCATGGGCTGAGGATTGGAAAGGGCCTTGGAGCTCACTCCACCACCTTCAGACTCACTCAGGCTCCACAATCAAATCAGTACTGGAAGAGTTGATTTTTATTGTCATTTTTAATCTCTTAGGGGTTTGATTTCCCAGCAGCTGGTGAAGGATGCAGTTACCTCTATCCCTGGCTCTGGTCTCCTAGTGAGCAGAGCAAGGTCTCCAGCTGGCAGGGAAAAAAGGGCACCTCCTTTGCATGAGCAGATACTGAGAGGAGATGTGAGGGAAAGGTGAGGAAGGTGTCTCGTACCAAAGAGGTCACTCTGCCATCACTCGGAACTCACCAGCTGTACACCCAATACACACACTCATCACTGCTTGGCTGCAATGACAAAGTGCCCTTTGATCCAACAGAGACTTCACTTCCCCAGTATTAATCTGGATGATTATTTCATATCCATATTTCCTTTACTTTGTCCATGTAGGTCCAGTTAGAAGCCAACATTATTGTGAAAAACAGAGGAAGGTCAAATTAATCTGTACCAAGCACTAGAGAAACTCACGGGATAAAGCCCAGCAGGAGTAGCCATGTGCTGGGGTGCTCTGCTGAGTGAAACTTGCACAGATGGGTAAAAGATAAAAAATCCAAGATAATTATTTGATAAATGTAGAGCAAATACCTCAGGTATTTTTGTCTGGCAGTAATCACATGCACAGAAGCACCAATGTTTTACAAAAATCACATTCTGTAATTTTGCAAATTGGTAACAAAAGGGGAAGGAATTATTATTACTAGAGATCAAGGCAAAATAAATCCTTGCTTATGGATCTGCTTTATTAGCCCTTATGTGAGATGCTGCTTAACATAACTGTGGCACAACAGTGCCTCCCAATGACCAAAGTGTAACTCTCTCAGGTTCATATATTGCTTGTCAGTATCTCATTTTGCTTGTCTCTGATATTTTATGCATTATTTTGACCACAACATCTCAGCAGATCTCTCTGCTAAGAAAGCTTTAATATTGAACTTCAAAATTAAAAGACTATCAAAGTATCAGCACAGATATCCCCTGCCAGAATATTCTGTTCTTTATGTGCAAACAAATAAAGTGACAGCAATACCTGAAACAAGGCTATCTAAAACCCCAAGGATACCTGAAAAGAATGTGTTGGAAGTGTTCCTGTTACTGCAGTCATGACTATATGTCAGTTAATCAGTGTCTCAGTTAAGCATGTGGGTACTACTTTTCTTAACTGATTGCAAAAATAATTCAACAAATAAAATAAACATTTTCTCTTTTTTTCTATCCCAAACCAGGTCCTGATTATTTCAGTTCCAAGAATCTTGCATTGCAAGCCCAGAAAAAGATCCTGAGTAAAATGGCAACCAAAACCATGGCTAACATGCTGATCGATGACACAAGCAGTGAAATCTTCGATGAGCTGTACAAAGTAACGAAGGAACACACAAGAAACAAAAAAGAAGCCCATAAAATTATGAAAGACCTGATTAAAGTGGCAATAAAAATCGGGATCCTCTATCGAAACAATCAGTTCAACCAAGAAGAGCTGGAGATCGTAGACAAGTTTAGGAAGAAGCTGAACCAAACTGCCATGACAATCGTCAGCTTCTACGAGGTAGAGTACACTTTTGACAGGAATGTGCTTGCAGAACTTCTCAATGAGTGTAAAGATCTTGTGCATGAACTCGTAGGTCGACACCTGACCCCGCGGTCTCACGGGCGCATCAACCACGTCTTCAACCACTTTGCGGATGTGGAATTTCTAACTGCCCTGTACAGCCTGGATGGGGATTGTCGGCCGTACCTCAAAAAGATCTGCAATGGCATCAACAAACTACTTGATGAGAAGGTTCTTTGAAACTACGCTCAGAAGCAAGAAACCAAACAAAAACTTCTCTCTAGGACTGGCCACCCTTCATGAGCCGTGGTAGGCAAGCGAGCTTCCTTCCCATCAGTCTTACTACAGCCCCACAGGGTCCAGAAAGTGCTCACCAGGCTCATGATGAAGTGGAAAACTTAAATCAGAAAGCTATCAATTTTAATGTTCTGTTCAGATAATTTAGTCTTTCTCAAGGAGCAGAGTGAACAAGGCTGCTGACATGTGTTGTTCAGAAAGAGATTGCTATACCCCAGGATCTTGCTAGCTTTGTGTCCAAGAAAAGACAGGAAACTCACATGCATGGCTATGTAAAAATAGACAGGTGAAGGCAAGAGAAACGCATGGAATTTACTCCCAGGCCCTTGGTGTGTACATTTTTATTATTTCCATGCTACCTGAAAAAGCTTTGACAGAAAATAAGGCTGTAGCGGATTGAGTTCACTCCTTTCAAAGGGATCAGGAATTAATATGAGAAGACCTCTCTTAATTTAAATGGTATGTAAATCTAATAGGGGAATAACAAATCATGCAGAGTAGAAGTGGGAAACAATTTAAAGAACTGCTTGAGGAAGCAGTATTTTCATCAGTTTTGTTTTATACCTGCTAATAGAAGGTTTCATTTTAATTTTGAAAATGAGCTCAGTGGTTGAAGCTCAAAGGTAACCAGAAAACTAAAGCAGTCCAGCAGTTCCCCCACACTCAGGGTTTGTGTATTGGGTACCATCAGGCAAGTTTAGGCTGAAGGTTGTGCTGCTCTTTGTGCTCTTACTGTTCTGCCTGACAGAATAAAATACTCTTTGTGAAGATTTTGACATTCCCTTGTGAGAAGCACAACGGACACCATTTCCATCCCCTGTCCTCAACGTATTCAGCCTCGATACCACTCGTGGTTTAATGTGCCCATGACATTTGTGCCTACAGTAATCAGAGGTGGGATACAACAGGATGCCCATCCACTCTTCTTGCAGTGCCTCTGAGTGTAGCATATCCACAGTAGCTAAACGAGAGCAGCCTTAGTGACTCTGGTGAGTTTCTGGAGTGAGTTTTGTTCTGAATGTTTTCAGTGGCTTTTTTTTTTTTCTACTGTTTTCAAGCTGAAAACATTTTGCCAAGAAAGAGTGGGGTTTGTACAGTCCTTTTAGGATGAAGGGAGGATGGGAGCAGAGCAGATACACCAGCTTTGCCACTTGTAGAATCTGGGTAGGTGCTGACTGACCCAGAGTAAAGGAAGCATGTTCAGAAATCTCTCCTCTCCTTGCCTTCCACATCTTAATCTCCTGCTCTAGCTCCTGACACTGCAGTATCAGGTACCCTCTTCTTTCATCTGGCACAGAGAGCAGAAAATGCCATTATCTAGAGGTAACACCTTCCCTTTCATGTATATATAATACAGAGATGCATGTACTTGAAATTTGACAAAGACAAGAAAATATATTTGAAAGCCATTTCTCTTTTAGGGAAGCTTACAGGGTTGATCACTCACTACTTTAGGATAAGAAAAAAATATATTTCATTTAAACTCTTAAATACTATGGTGGTAGAGAAAACTGTTCAAAAACTTTGTTATTCTTCTGTCTTTCCTCACCCCAGATATTTTATCTCTTGCAACAATTTTTACTATCACACCTTATCCAGTTGAGAACACACATACCCAGGTCACATATTCACTTGGGTTGTGCTAGATGGATTTGTATCTGTTCCCAGAACTCATTTGAACCACTGTAAAAATGAAAGACAGTAGCAGAGCAGTTTGCAACAATGTAAATTTTCCCCACCTATTTCCTTTAAGCATAAAAGGTGTATTTAGTAGCAGTGAAGGTGGACAACTCCTTTACAAAACAGTAGTGAAATACCAACAGTTGGGGTTGCAAGTTCAGCCATTTGCAGAGCCATATTTACATGCACATTACCTGCATTTCTTCCAAGCACGTACTTGTCAATTGATGCTTTTGAACAGTATTTATCGTATCCAATGCTCCTGTCCCAGTGCACACACGTCAGATTTCGCGTGTTTCATTTGTGGCAAACCAATTTAAGTTCTTTTTTTGAAAGCCAGAAAAAGAGATTATTCACCATTCAAGATGTCCAAAGGAAAGATATATCCTGTATCTGTGACTTTTTGTGTGTTGCAAGCATCAATATTCAGATTCTGGTATTTTAGACACACCAGCTGAACATCTGTTGTTTTATTTATAAATAATCTGAGTAGCCTTAAAGGAAGAGGTGTTTTCAAGTATTTCTCATACTTGCATATCCTGTATATTCATTGTTTACTTTTGTAGCTTGGTATGTAATAACATTGCTAAAATATGGGCAATGTTCAGGTCACCTTAAGTATATTATGTATTATCACATTTGTGGATTAAAAAATGTGTGATTACTGCCTTTTTTTTTCTCCTTTTGATTCATTTATTCTACCATCCCTGTTGCATCACACACACCCAACACCAACACGTGTCAGCAGCAAACGGAATTTCTGTTTTTCCCCAATGTTCTGCAGCACTTGAGCTACCAGACGATGCTGGCTCAGTGTGTTTAGTGGAGCAGCCTCATCACCAAGCTCAGAAACTCCCTCATAAGTCACAGGGAGGAAATGGCACAGACTTCTTGCCTTCAGGTACCACTTCTCCCTGGGCTCAGCCTGAGCTGGTGCCTGGAACAGACACGAGCAGCCTGGGGCAGGGGCACAGCACGTTGCAGGCCAAGATCTCACTATTCTTCTTGCAAGCACCTTCTTGAAACTTTCCCATGATGTATTTAGCTCAGTTTAGCTCCATGTGATTTAAACTACATGGAAGACACATCCCTGGCAGATTTCAAAGCCGTGCCCTAAACATGGAGGTGCTACAACCTACCAGAATGTTTTAACAACAGCAAGCATATATTCTCCCATCCTTATTCCCAGAAAAAGCAAACTGCAAATCCTGAACTCCTTCAGCCAAAGCAAACAACTCACACAGCAATTATACTGAAAGCAATTAAAGGCTGGCACAAAGAGAAAACTGACAACTACCTTAAAATCTGAGTTTAAAGCAATCTTCCTAAGTGGTGCTTTGAACCTCCCTGCTGGTGAAGTATTGCTGTCAAGTTAATTTTATGAATCATATCATGGCAGGACACAATATTCTTTGCTTCATCACTGCCAGCTTTATGTAATAAAGAGAAAAATGTTAATGTTCAAGAAAGTCTCATGGGAGTGACCACTTCTGGCACTCTGATGAAATGGTCCCTGTACCACTGAGCAGCACTTCACACTGAACATGTGACCTGATTTGTGCTAGAGAAATGTTCTTACAGAAAGGCACATAAATAGCTGACCCTGAAGAGAACCAAGAGGTAAAGCACAATTAACTCTTACCACAGCAACTGAAATGCAAAAGCAACTTTTACCTGGATGACTTAAGCGGATCTATTTCTGTTTTTACATAAATCAATGCCAGAAAGAGACAATGCACAGTCTTACCCACAAAGAAAAAGATAATACAGCTTTTTAGGCTGAAAAACTACTGGTGGGATTCTATAGGAGATAAACACCTTTCCAATATTTAGAAACCGTCAGACAATGTCATTTATGAGCTATTCACAAGTACAGGAAAACCTCAAGATAGTGCCATCCATTACACAAATTTACTCTTCTAGGTCCTTAAAGGATGAGGAGGATTTGGAAATACCTAGCGGAAAGTAATGTAACACAAGAGATTTGACCTATATTTAAGACAATACCCTACATCATACTGCCATGCTGCACTTCTGTCCATTTTCCTACCAAAGTATTTGTTTCATTAAAAATATCTGAAAATACTTGGGGTAAGGAAGGAGAAGCTGACAAAACAGTTGGAATATGGATCCAACATAATCACTTCCCTGTTGACTCCCAGATGTTCAGAACTCCAAGCTGCCCATGGCACACAGCAGTAAAACAGTGAGGCCTCCTGGTACCCAGGGTTTGGTCCAAACATTGTTAACCTGCCAGTTCAGAAAGGTCAGTTTATACTGACCGGCCTCTGGTTGCCTCTTGAAAGCAAACTTCTTCATGCAAACTGGTTATGTGCTCTCTTCCTTCTAGCCTGTTTCTATACACCTTATTTCCCTTTCCTGGAAAACAGCCTAAGCCTTCAAGTTCTACCAAGTCACACAGAAAAGTAACTGGGAACACCATGGAGGAGGAAGATAGTCACAAAAGGATTTTCAATATGGAACTAGATGGAAAAACATTCCTTTGTATAATTATCTATGCAGTCATATTTCAGAGACAGCTGGATGATGGAAGAAGATCAGAGGGATTTCCAGCACTTAATTGCTGAGGTTCTCAAGGGCCTGAGCTCCTCAGCTCAGCCAGGACTCCTGTTACACACTGGCAGCTTTTTTACACAAACCATCCCCCTGACTTAGACCAGGGCTGCAGCCACCTGCAGTTCAGCCATTATGTCCAACTCCCCAAGCTCCCAACTCCATAGCAATGCTTTCTTATGTCAGCATTGAACTTAAAAAAATGCTATTCCTGTCAACTATGAATAACAAGAGATACTCAAGTCTCCTGTGATGCCTAAAACCAAAACACATAATCTGGCAGAATTCCAAAAAGAGGGTTGGACAATGTGAGCTGGCGCACAGAATGCTGTTCCAAAGATCTAAAGTGTAGTCTTGCAGTCTTCTGGTATCTCCAAGTGAGACACAGGATATTTAAATCACCAATGGACTCAAGACTTCTGTGGTGTTGCATTCTTCATCACTGTCCAGATGTAAAGAGAAACAATTAAAATAGAAACTAATTCTTAATATGCAGAAACATTGCTATATGTGGTGGCGAAGAACATGTAGCAAGGATTAAGCTGATTTTTTTAATAAAACTGAATTTTATTAAACTGCAAGAAATGCAAAGATGGCGATAGATTCAGAACAACATTTGCTGGGCAATCCAAAAATAAAGACCAACACAGGTACAATTCCCTGCAAACTCCTTGAAGTGGTGTTAATACCATAAAGCAATTAGAATATTGACACTTTGACATACACTATTCATACAGTGAAAAAGGTTACAAAGAACATTACATTAACAACAGAAGGCATTGCTGTCTTTTGCTGTTCTTTTTAAACACTAAGACAGTAACATCTCATTGCTGAAATGGTTTGAATGCATAGGCCACAAACAGATACTTGTATTAATAGTTCCTATGATTACAGAAGTCCAATTGCATAACACAATTTACCAGCAGGGAAATAGTTTGCTGGAAATTATTCCACTATAAATCAGTTTTCGTTTATATAAACTGTCTTGAAGTGCCAAGTAAACATTAAAGTATGCAGAACATTAAATATATTTACAGGTTCAGTGCACTTTAAATTCCTCAGTAAGAGGGTACTGAAACAGCAATAAAAACAGCTTTGCTTGTATGATTATACTTGTGATAACACAAGTAGCATGACTTAAAAAAACCCAAACTATCAGCACATTAACATTCTTACGACAATTTCATCAACATTTACCAAAACATCAAAGTAACAATACTTTATTTTTCTTTACAACCAGTGCTTATCAGGTGAGAATCAGTAATGCTGAAATATAACAGAGTTTCCTTGTTACTGTTAAACACACAAAGGAGAGAATTCCACTGTGGAATCCATTTATACCATGTCTGAACCGTGTGTACAACCTTTGATGCTTTTAAATAGAAAACATGACCAGCTATAAATAATATTAAGCAGTACTAGTTTTCATTTAGCATTTAAATAAATTAAGATTGCTGGATTTTCAAGACTGTGAGGTTATTTCAGGAAGAGAAAACAACCTCCTCAGACACAGTTTCCATGTATACTGCTCTGATTTAATCTCATGCCTTGCTGCAGTTCCTAGCAGTGCACACACAACATCTGTGCAAGTCAAAGGTTTGAGGAGTCATACTGAGCCTATAAATAATTAGAAGAAAAAATAAATGAAAGTTTTCCCCATGTGAATTTTCATGGACAGAGATATTGGCCAGATTAAGTTTATATGATTGACTGGACAGCAATGAACATGTTTCACTACCCAACAACCAAGGTCAACATGTCCACAGCAAACTACCCCCAGCTCAGTCACCTCAGGCTTGATCCACATCAAACTTTGCTTTAGAGATGCACAAATATTCAGTGACTGTCACAGACCCCTATGGAAAGGGAACACAACTGAAACATGAGGCAGGAAGAACTGCAGACAGGGACTAACCTGAGGGGCCTTAGATCATCCCCCAGGAGGTGCTTCCATGGGATCTCACATGTCAGACTCCTCTCAAAAACTGTTTAGATGTTACCACTTCCATGGTAAGTATCAAAGATCATGGGAAGTGTTTTGTTCCCTAGAATCTTTTAACTATTTTAAAACTGTGCATTTGTTGCTACATAAGTTACTTTATACAACCACCAGTATGGGTCTTGTTGCCAACAGTGCTTAAAAATAGCTTTAGAAAAATTACCAAAATAAAATTAGATGATCCTGATAACTGATCAAGTCTGACCTTATAATGGAAATATGTTTTTCTTTAAAATCATATTTAAGTAGTTGCCATGAGAAGTCATCATTGGCATCTATAAAAGCTGCATAATAAAAATAAATACTTTCAGTCATTTACAACAAAATTAAGAAATATACATTTCACTGAAACAGTTTACAATACTTTAATGTACTGTACAGTCCTGAGCATGTTTTTGCAGGTGTAATTTAGGTCATTGCTCTTTCCCCACAAGTCCACACGACATATGCCAGCTGGAAGAAAACTTCTAATACTCCAAGAAGCAGTATCTTAATTTAGCTTTGGTAAATTTGGTAAAATTTATCTGTGCAACTGTATAAATCTTTTCACAGCCCAAACAGATTAAGGCAGGCACTATTGTTATTAGGATTCCCCCATCACCTTTTGACACTGGTAGAGCAAACCATCTGGAAGAGCAGCACAAGGTGATCTGAACCACACAGCCAACATCCCTGAGTGCGTACGGCAGTGCAGCAGGCAGGGCACAGATGGAAGGAGCTGGCATGCCAGTATTCCCTCATTACCTTAAAATAAAAAAGACCACAGGAAAAAAAAAAAGAAGTAACAAGTAACAATTGCTACAGTATACTTCATAAATGTATCTTTCAAACTCCATGTGCTGTTCTCTTCTACCCTTCCCTCTAACTCCTCTAACAAGTCACCACAAATGACACTAAAATCCCAGCTTCATATTTGTCCCGTAGCTTCATTCCCTTCTTTTTGTCCTGTCCAATACTCTTCATAATGCAAGTTTCCTCCTTTGTAAAATTTACTGTTTGTTGTACACTTGTATCTTTACATCACCTTCACAAAGACCCCCAAGTAAGGCAAACAAAGTCCACAGGAAAACAGTCCCAAGCTTACTGTCCTCCCAAACATTCCCCGCCTCAAACTCTAAGATACTCACTTCCATGCACCCATTTTCGTGGGAAAAGTTGTATATATTATATGTATACTATATATAATATACTTTAACTTACCTATAATGTCAACTATATGGAGTTTCAGCTTCTGTTGCAGTGTGTTCAAGGCTGCTGAAAGGGAATCTTGGGAAGACGACATTTTTATATTCTGTTTCACATCATTGGAAAGGGACAACCACAGCTTTCCAAAGTCTTCTGTAGTCATTTCCATTGGCCTAAAAATAAGATCACCACATATTTTAGCAAAATGAGATATGTAAGTCACCAAAAAAATCATATCTGAAAGCACCTGGACAATAGAACAAGCAATAAGCAAATTCATATTAGTTTAAACAAACTCCTCTTAACATAAAAGTTTCTATTCCTTGCTTTAGGTTTCTAAATTTTAAAGGAATAAATATATGGATTTCACTTCAAAAGAAAAGTCTGCTGGAAAAAAGGACACTTGCTTTTTCTACTCCTAAAATAAATGCAGTCTTCAGAAATTAAAAGAATGAGCTTTCTTCTTCCCCTGCAAAAGTTGTCAGCCTTTTCATATAACATTCTGGTCCCTGCACTCAAATCACTTCTTTCAGTTTGACATGTTTACATTATGCCATATTTTAAAACAGTATGCCCTTCTGTTCACTCAGTTTTCAGCCTCCTCAAAAACACATTCTGTAATTCAAGGCTATTCTAACCTGCAGCTACTGTCAATATTCTCACTGGATTTGTACTCCTTGCTGGAACTTTTCCCCTTTTTTGGAAGTGTAAAATAACCCTTTATTATCTTTAACAGTAATCTCAGATTAAAACTAACTGCTCAAGAAGGAGCCTTATATTTTCAAAGTCAATACCCAAACCATCCTGCCCTTGTCTAATACTGAGTTGAGTACAGGTGTTTTTAAAAAAATGCAGCTTTTTTTACTTACCTGATGAAGTCCATCAGTGATAAAGTTACTGAAAATTCCAGGCGAGTTTCCATCTCTGACTGGTAACTAACAGAGCCAGAAAGAATTCCCTGGGTACAGATTTTGTTCATCCTCACACATTTCTGGCAATGTTCCAAACTTTGAGCTTCAATTACAGGAAACTGGTGGGTGGGACTCTCCAAAATCTATGTGATGTTTTAAAAGGAATATAGAACGTAAGTCTTGCTGTCAAGTTTCGCAAGTGATAAAGATACAGCTAGAAAACTGTGTAAGTGCCTTTTATTTCCATTGATTTTTCTTGGACTATTTGACAAGTGAACAGAACTACTATTTCTCAGCCCTCGTGAAGGATGAATCAATAATTAACATCTACAAGTGTTCTGTGAGAAGTAGAACAGTGGTGAAACTCATCTCTGGCAACTGGCTTCCCCCACCTCTGAATAACCACACCAAGAACCTGAATTCTGTAGTTCAGTCTCAAAATATAAGCAAGCAGCATTTGCAACACACCTCAAGCTACATGCTAAAAGTAAGAAGTTGAGAAATCCTCCCTAATAAAAAGGATGATTTCAAGATTACTCAGCAGTCCCCAGCCTCTCCAAACAAACCAGTAACATAGATTCTATCCATGGTAGTGGTCTGTGTGGGAACTTAAGTGAATTACAAGAAAAAAACAGACATGAAATGCCCACTTTCTAGCAAGACAGGTTTGATTCAAGTTAGAACAGGAAAGGAAGGAGACTCCATAACCAATTAGCAGTTCCTTTCCTGCTTAATTCTCTTTATCCAGTTATCATTTGCTGAGTGTTTAATAATTCTGTGTTTCTTCTAGCAAAATCTGTGGATAGTCATGCTGCTTGGCAATTCCTAGCCATCTTTCCAAATATTTAAATGAAGTTTCAATCAAGACTCTAACATGCTTTTACCAACCCTAGTTAAATCCCAGATGTAGCCAATGCAAAAAAATAAACTGACCAACTCTTCTGCACCATCAGCTGAATGCATGAGAATGAAATATGACTGGTAGCTTTGGGGGAAAGGAGGAGGGAGGAAATCGAAGCAAGCCTACACAAATTTAATGTCAGGGAAGCAACTGGGTCATGTTTGCCTATCAGGTAAATACAAGTGAAAGCACAAGCCCCATAGTCATACCCAGACAAAAAAAAGTTACACAGTGATTTCTTTAGCAACTCAAGTCATCCCACTCTGAGTAAAACTGGTTAGGTTTGCATTCAGAAGTGAGAAATCACACGGATTTGTTATATGGAGGCAAGCACTAGGAAACAAAGTCAAGGCGAATTAAAAACGTAAGATGCTAACCTTTAAACCAAATAACACTAAGTTGATATTGAAATTTCTCTCACTGCCCTTCAGAATGTGTGTAACAGCAGTAACCACAAGTTTTAAGGAAATACTTTGGAAAAAGGTATGACTATTACATTAAAGCAAGCGTTGCACAGTGAAATGCAAGAGAAAAGCGAGAAGTTCCACGTCCATTTCAAATACAATGGAAACACAGTTCCTTACCTGAAAGTGTTCTGTTTCTTCAAACACTAAGTTCACAGCATTAAGTGCAGAAGTGGTTTTATTGGAAACTAAGACAGTGAGCAACAGAGAGTCATCTGTCCATGCCTTACATAAATACAGAGCTAAGGCATCACTCTGATGAAGTTCCAGTACCTCAGAGTGAGGAAGCTCTTCAAGTTCTTCTGGTAGGGAAGGAACCAATGGTGTTTCACTGGCACTTTCACATTGAGCACTTGGAGAAGGCTGAAAAATTTCAATATTACTATCAGCAAACAAAGATGACTGTGACACCCTATTATCTGAAAGTCTGTCATCCAGCACAGATTTTTTAAGGGACTGAGGTGTTTCAAATGCTAAATTATCTTCTACAATATCTGAAGAGCACAGGGAGGCTTTCCTTAACCTTGTGTGTGAACTTTCCTCAGAGTCTTCTGTGTTAATAGGTACTGTATCAAGCAAGGGACCAAAATCTGAAGCAGCACTACTTTTGAAGTCTGATGCCTCCTCACTATGTTGAGTTTCGTTTATCTTTGATTTCCTTTTGAACTTCTGGGTAGCTGTGTCTGCTTTCCCCATCTGAAAAGAAAAAAATGGTTCTGTTACTATTAACACAATGAAACAGTGAGCAAGGACAAGGAATCAATACAGATGATTCCTGATACAAACAGATTCCAGACATTTTAATGGATTCCAGCTTTCATTGTATTTCTTACAGGGCACTGAATTAGCTTATAATGCACGTATGACTCCAGGTTCTCTTAACAAACTAAAAGCTCTTATTAAAAACTAAGCACAGCTAAACAGTTTCTGGTTAACCAGTGATAAATGCCAAGATGTGAGCTGGCTAATAAGATGCCAGTCTTAAAAAGATTACCTAATGGTGAATTCTTATGTTCCAGATACTACCACAGACATATTAAAAATGGTCTTGACACAGGGTGTCAAGCTCTAGCCTTACTGCTAGATGAATGGCAACAGCTCTGCAAAGCTGGAACAATTGTTCAGGAAAACTGTGACTTAAACTTGAAGCACAACATATAAACAGAGGGAAGTTCTAGTTACCAAATCAGATCTGCTCCAGATGTTGCTTTATCAAGAAATTTCCAAGCTGTTTCATGTTCTTAACAAATTACCAGATTGCAAAAGTAATTTTCAGTAGCTTTTCAGTTACTTAGGGGAAATTTGTCTTATCACTAATTTGATCTTCATTTGCATACAAATATCTATAATTTTAGCTAAGGCTATATGTAAACTTTAAACTGTTAAGTCTCAAGAGAGCCACTTACCAGGCTGACACCAGCACTTGATCCCAGCCCAACAAACAAAGTTGATGCTAACTGCTGCTTCTCTTTGTCTTCCTCAGTGAGGCTGGCACCTTGATCAGACCTCAACACAGGAGGGTCACCTGTCTGTCCTGCTAATAAGCTGCCACAGGTAACTGTTTGTGGCTCATTTTCTTTCCCTACTTTTTCTTTCTTTGGAAGATAACCTTCTTTTCCCCACAGCTTACGTACTCCCTCGAGTTTCAGAGTATTTGTCCTAAAAAAGCAAACAAAACAAAGCAGAATCAGCCACATGAACATCATGTTCTTAAAAACACACCAGTACTCAAACACCATTCACAACTTTGGTACTTTGATAGACACAGTGAGCAGTGAAATATAAGTGAACACTTGCATTTACATGAATGAATCCCACAAATATAAACCTGGACTGGGCTATACAGTACTCAAGTACAGACCTATATTAAGCAGCATTAAACACCTGCAACCAGTAGTACACTGTGTTTGCCACCTCCACCCAGAGTTTCAGACTACATTTATAATATATTTTGAGTAATTTTTAAAAAAATAAATATAAGGAACATGGTATCTATGTTTCTCCCCAGGAGAGAGGTTCTGGGAAGACATTTTCCCAGAAAGATTCCGAAAAGGTTTCCTAGATACCAATTTACAGGACTACGATTAATTTTTTAAATTTGTATGAAGTTATGGACCTGGAATAGTTTGTAGTGTTCTAAAACTTACACTGCAAATCTTAGCCTCACTTTTATCTAAAAAAAGTTTCCTTAAAAGGCACATTATTAAGTATTTTTTCTCTGTCATCTTTTTCTTACAGGTTACACTTGTTTTTAATAGGAATACAATGAATTAATTATCAGGTAATCTTGTATCCATTTTATTGCATCTACTACCACCTAATTTGTAGTCTGTGAAGAAAGTGGAAAAAGAGCCTAACCACCTTGGTTTTTCTAGTAATTATAAAGATGTCTTTATATAATCTGAATTTCTTTTTACATGACAGATGTTTCCAAGTTCAACTGCCTTCTTTCTAGTTCCCTGTAATGAAGCAGCAAAGACATGATACTGACAACAAACAGAAGTTTAAATGTGCTTCATTTCAAACACAGATTAACTCACTCTTTGTGCCCTGTCTCAGCACTGTTACCAGAGGTATCAGAACCAAAAGATAAACCAGTGGGGGACTGTCTGCCAGTGACACCAGATGAGGACACACTTGAAGCAAAGGACAATCCATACGGTTCAAAATTCAGAGCTGCAAGACAGACAAACTTAAAATTACAAAGAGGCATTAAAAAAAAAAAAAAGAAATCTGTTTTCTGAAAACAGATATCCCTGTACTGCTGGACTTCTCAGGTTTTCACTTTAATAATCCCCATAAATTTCAAATCCTACAGACCAGCAGAGATTATAATAAAACTTTCTCCCATGAAGAATAACAACCTATATCCATCAGCTAGACTGATGTGGAACTAAAATCTAAACTGAATTTAACTCTTGTCTACACACAAGAGATGTATTAAGATACTATTACTTTAAGAAAATGTATTAACTTTACACTTAAATTGTTAATACTTATCAGGTAATTTACCAGCTATTAAATAAATGCTGCAAACTTTCACCTTTTTCCTGAGAAAGTTTCTCCTCTTGCCTCTGGTGATGAGGTTTATACGGTGCTGCCCCACGACCAAGTCCTTCGGCCACAAACCCATCCAGAAAAGATAAGGATGCATCTACCTACACAGAATTAAAAGGAGTGAAAAGGCAATGAAAATATTTGCTATATCTGAGCCTGGTGTTACCAGTAGAATATTGTGTCTTATCATCAGATCAGGATCTTCACTCTCTCATCTCCCATATCTACCAGTAGAGCTGCTGTATTAACAGCAGTGGTTCAGCAAGTATGTTGAAGCAGACTTTGAGCTAGAGATTTGTAATTTAACTCCTCCACTATTTGACTTCTATATTAATTAATAAAACAAGGAAAAAAAAAAAAAAAGGAAAAAAAGCAGAGTTGAATCTTCCAAAAATGGTTGATACTACCATTATAAGACAATATTGAATTCAAACAAACCCTCTCAAAAACCTCAGCAATATCATTATTTATTTTTCATTATTTACTATGGAAATTTCATGATCAAGTTTAGTAGTTCTTAAGTAGGAGAGAACCCTATGGATTAAAAAGCAGTACTATATCACTAAAGCAGGCCTACTATGTCTTTAAAGAAACCCATAAGACAACTACAAATAAACCACTGCATGAAATTATCATTTTGTTAAAAGCAACTTCAGCTTACTTAACCCTGTGGTTCTTTATCTTTCAGTACAGAACATTATGATTCACCACATATGCCTCAAAAAGTGTTTCTGAAAACTCACTTTAAGCAGACTTAACTAACACCAGTCAGAACTGCAAATACAATTCATTTTGAAAACATGTTTTTACCACAATATTCAAGCCCCTGAACTATAAAGAGGTTCATGAAAAACAAACAGTGCAGTTGTCTTACCACCATATCATTGCAACTAGCATCAAATGGAAGCAAATTTTTCATCAGTGCTTTGTCTTCACAGAGATGTTTCAATTCAAAGGCATATTGTCTTATGCAGGTATCTAGAGAGCTGCTAAGTTCTTGGATTAGTTTGTCAACTGTTTCTGAACAGGAGGTATGTGATGCTATCTTGGTGACTGCAGCCATTATCCACGCTTTAGTTTCAGAAGTAACATAAGTCTTCTTCAGCAGGCTGTGTAGTTTTGTCAAAATAATTTCAGGATCAACATCTGTAACAAGACTGAAATATTCTCCCAACACCTATTCACAAAGAACAGACAAAATACACATTTAGTCACACAGAGTAGTGCTTTCAGTTTTGAAATGAGAATATAGTACTAAATAACACAATAAAATCCATCTCACATTCAAGAAACTATTATTTTAAACATCTTCTAAATTATTTCTTTACCATTTTGTGTTTTAAATGTCAAAGGCTTGAAGTTATCTGTATTTACCTCAGCAGACTCCAACTTTTAGCTTCTTAAAAATTCAACAGCTGCCTTAAGAAAGCTAAACATAACTAGGCCCTGAGAAAACACAATTTGCTCACACTGCAGCCTCTCCCTTGGGTAGAAGTTGAAGCTTACCCAGGTACCAGATATTATCAGCACAGCACCTGGTCAGGCTAAAAATGCATTTTACAACCACATCTAGCCTAGTTCTGATGAAGACAGAAAGGTTCTCAACATGCAGCCAGGTTCAGGTGGCTGCTAAGCCATTCCATCAGTCACCTGCCTTAAAGAGAGTTTTTCTACAGCTTTTCTGCTTTTCTACAGCTTTTCTACAAACTATAAGTAGTCCTTGGTCACCAAAGAGGTCACTAAAATAGGACTGCAGCATATTAGCTTGATTTCAAGTAAAAAAAAAAAAAATACTCATGACTAAAAATACAAGCATCTAATAAATATTTATTAAATATTTATTAAACCACCTCAGACAGTTTCCTCATATATGGATTTTGACCATGTGTCTACCTTACCCAACTCATAACTTGAAGGAATTTCTGTGGATACAATGCATCTTCCTCTCCAAGTAATGATAAATAAGACTGCACTGCATACATCCGTAGCTGATGATCCTCCTTTCCATCATCAAATCCTAGATAGAGAAAACAATATAATAATTTCCATGAAACACAAATAACACATCCTATCAAATATTTTGAAGTACATTTTAAGAAAAAAACCCCAGATTATCAAGGAACATGTCTGATTCTTCAGAGCATTCAGGGAGTTGCTCACCTTCAGCCAACAGCCTCAGAAAGTTGTTTGGGATATCAGGATGCACAACATCCCCTCCAACTGAAAACACAGCATTCATTGTCTGGATGAACCACTCGTTGTTAGGAGCATACGTGTCCAGATGTTAAGGAATGAAGTGCTAAGGCACAACTTCATGTTTCTTACTTGTGTGTTTCCTAGGGAACACCCATCTTAATCTCCCCAGTAAGCTGGGGATCTGATGGTCAAATACCAGCTCAATCTAACTGAAGAGGAAATATTCCTGCATCTTTCAGAAAGCATTTCCTCTGAATTTCATGGAAACTGGTAGTCAGGCAGAGAAGTGTTAAGTTACTGCCCTGTTGAAAAAGTTGTCAAGTAGACCTCACACAGCAGGAACAGGTATGTTCACATATGTGAACTACTCTATTTTAAGTTCACACTTGTCCCATGCTGGGCTTCCAGCATAATCTTTTGAGTTTGTTTACCCAACATCATTTGATCAGTGATAGAAAAGCTGTTATTTTCAGCAGTGTTTTGCTGTTGACTTACAAATTTTATGAAAACAATGAACATTTTGAAGCACTCCACAGAAAGCATTACTGGCTTTTTAAACACATTTAGAAGTTTTTTAATATATTTAAAATTTGATCAGCCTTTGCTAACTTTGAAAGTTAGCTTCTGCCTTCCCTCAATCAAGTCCTGAAAATGCAGTTACTGAACAGACATTTTCAACAGTATAGAAACATAATACTGCCTTATTTTTGCATACAGTAGGATAACACAGCTTTTTTTTTGTACACTACTCTGTTCCAAGCAGGGTACAAACAGGATGGTAAGGTAGCTTTCTGTAAAAAGCACTTACAACTCAAATTATCAGACAGAAATGCACACAGAAAATCATGCAATGGCAGGTCTAACATGCCAAATCCCTAAGCAGCACTTCCATCTTTTTGGCATTGTTAAAGAATCTTGTCTTTATTTCTATCAAAGTGTGTTATTCTTCAAATCCATATACCAATGAAGAGTTAGTTCTCTGATAGAAGATCATTTCCACAACTACAGAATAGCACTCTCTCCTGCAGTAGTGTAAGACTTCCTAGTTTGAATTTAAAAACACGAGGTTTTAATGCTAAACTCCAAAGCCAAAATAAAATATTTTGAATGCCATTACTTTCTCTCAGTGAAATACAAGAAACACAGCAGTCATGTTTGCATATGTTTCTCTTTTGCATACTTTTTTTTTTTTTTGAAAGAGTGGAAAGCACAGCTGTAACACTTCCTGTTTCAAAACATCATGAAAGATGCTTTGAAAGGTATAAATGTTACATATGCCTGAGCTCTAACTTCAAAGTTTCAGAAAAATAAAAGGATATTTCTCAGCTAGTTCAGAAAAATAAAA